GATGGCTAGTGATCCTGAGCATTTTCTCAAGTGTCTGTTGGTCATTTGAATTTCCTGTCTTGAAATTGTCTGTTCAAGTCCTTTGGTGATTTCTTAACTGGATTATTTGTTTAGTTGTAGAGTTTCTTGAGCTCTTTATGGATTCTGGATGTTAACCCTTTATCAGATAGTTGCATAGTTTACAAATTTTTTTCCCATTCTGATGGTTGTCTCTTCACTTGGCTGAGTGTTTCTTTTGAAGTGCAGAAGGTTCTCAGCTTGATGTAATCCATTTGCCAATTTTGGCTTTGCCTGTGCTTCTGAGGTCATTTCCAAGAAGTCTTTGCCTATGCCAATGTCTTGCAGAGTTTTCTCAGTATTCTCCAGTAATTGGGAGGTATCAGGTCATAGGTGTAGGTCGTGGAACCATTTTGAGTAGAGTTTTGTGTAAGGTGTTAGGTATGGGTCTAGTTTCAAATTTCTGCACGTGGAGATCCAGTTTCCTCAGCACTGTTTGTTAAAAAGACTGTCCTTGCTCCAAGGATTTATTTTAGCTCCTTTGTCAAAGATGAGTTGGTTGTACATGTGTAGATTATTTCTGGAGATTCCGTTATGTTCCATTGGTCTACATGTGTATTTTTGTGCCAGTACTAGGCTGCTTTAATTATAAATGCCATGTAGTATGCCCTGAAATCTGGTATTGTCATGCCTCCAGCTTTGTTTTTGTTATATAAGATTGCTTTAGCTATTTGAGGTCTCCTGTTCCTCCATATGAAATTCAGCATCATGTTTTGTAGATCTGAAAAGAATATCTTTGATATTTTGATTGGAGTTGGATTGAATCTGTAGTTGCTTTGGGTAGTATGGAAATTTTTATGATGATTCTTCCAATCCATGAACATGGAAGATTTTTCCTTTTTTTAAATATCCTTTTCTGTTTCTTTAGTATTTTGTAATTTTCATCACAGAGACCTTGACATTCTTGGTTAAATTTATTCCAATGTATTTAATACGTTTTGTAGCTATTGTGAATAGGACTGATCTTAAAAGTTCTTTCTCAGCCATGACATTGTCTGTATATACAAAGGCTATTGATTTTTGCATATTAATTTTATATCCTGCCACTTTATCAAACTCCTATGAATTGCAGTCATCTCTCTGTGGAGTCTTTTGGATCCTCACTATGTAGAATCATGTCATCTGCAAATAGGGATATTTTGACTTCCTCCTTTCCAATTTGTATCCCTTTGATTTCTTTCCCTTGCCTAATAGCTCTGGCTAAAACTTGCAGGACTATATTGAATAGCAGTGGTGAGAGTGGGCGTCTTTGGTTCTGGATCTTAGGGGGAATGCTTCCAACTTTTCCCCATTCAATAAGATGCTGGCTATGGGTTTGTCATAAATTGTCTTGATTGTGTTGAGGAATGTTCATTCTATACCCAATTTGCTTAGAGTTTTCTTCGTGAAAATGTATTATATTTTATCAAATACTTTATTGAGATAATCATGTTTTTTGTTCTTCAGTTTGTTAATGTGATGTATCACATTGATTTGTGAATGTTGAACCATCCCTGCATACCATGGATAAATCCCACTTGTTTTGGGTGAATGATCTTTTGGATGTGTTGTTGGATTTGATTGGCTAGTATTTTGAGTATTTTTGTGTCCATGTTCATCAGGGAAATTGGTCTGTAGTTCTCTTTCTTTGTTGTATCTTTTTTTCTGACTTAGAAATTAAGGTGATGCTGGCTTCATAGAAGGAGTTTGGGAGGATTT